GGGAACATCCAATAGACACGAACTCTGCCTTTAAACCTGTTCATAATCCCTGCAAACGAAAGAGCGTGTGAAGGCGCGTGGAGAGGAGCGCAGCCGGGACAGCCTTTTCACCCTATTGTTGCGGGATCAGGATACACCAATGGGAAACGTGCAAGTATCCCGATAATCCAGATCGCCCTCTCCCCGTGATCTCACTGGAGAGATGGTAGACACACCTAGTAAAGTTACTCTGATCCTTCGGTATCGTTTTACCCAAATAAACTCCTAAATCACTCATCGGACGATGCTGGGTCTCGCGAATTTCCGAATGTGCAACTCAGACAATTTGGTACATTTTGAAATTCAAACTCATTCAGAGCAGGCCTTGCCATCGTTCTGATGATCGCGTAGCGCAGCCAAAACCCACCGCAGATGAACTGACCGAGAAACTTGTCAAGCTCCCTGCATCAGCTGGTGGAAAAGGTCGTCCTGGCTGTGCTCCAATCACGCCCCTTCAGATGCGCTATCATTTGCAGGGATCATTATCGCATTTCGGGCAGTGCTGGGAAAGGATTCATCCAAACGAACCCTTTCATGATCACGTGGATTACTTAGGCATTCCTTCGGTCCTGCTCAACACTGGTATTTCCAGGTGTTCTCACCGATCTCCGGAGGGATACTGAAGAAAGTACACTAAGGGTTCGGATAATATTGCCGAGGAAGCCGTGAAGATCCTTTTGTTTGCAGCGGTAGTTACTGCATTTGAAAATTTAACGCTCTTCCAGAACAGAACCTACGAGGCATCGTTGGAAAAGTCTTAGCGCCTTGAGCACTAAAAATCACAAGATTCATTATTCTTGTCGAATTCAGCACTCATGTTTTTTCAGCAACAGGCCTCTTCGTCATACACAAAGTACAGGGTGTCTAACCACCAGTCATGCCTTTGGGATGCGCCATGAACCCGATCCCTAGCTGTAGTCGCCGAATGTTTTGACGCACTCTTGGTCACGAAGGCGCGGTGGTTAGCCGATATTTGAGTAGTTGTTCTCAATATCAATAAGGCAAAGCGAAAGTTTAAGAGAAAGACCGAAAAAATGAAGAAAGAAACGGGAACAAGAGGAAAAAAAGAAAAAAACGAAGGCCATTGGAAGGTGGAACCAAGACATCTAGTGGTTAATAAAGCAATAGAGAAGATCATTCGGGGATATGGTGAAGGTTTATTTGGAGGGAGAAGAGCCCTTTCAGCAGCGTTTCATTGAGCTTAAGACCGGAAATGAGGTTCGACTGACAAGGCAAGACGACGACGTCCGCACGGAGGACTCGGCAGTTTTGCCGCCCTGATGCCGCATTTGTGGGCCAGCATTTACTTGAAGCCGCGAGCGGAGCTGCACAGGCTATCGGATACTGTCTTCTTTCAATGAAAATTTGCCAAAAATATGGATTTCACAAGATAACCCTCGGAAACTAAATGAACCTTCTCATGAATCTATTACAACCACACGTAATAGAGTGATGTCGCAAGCATCAGTTCAGGCCGATTGCTAGCTATCAGCACACGCAATGCAGCCGCCCGCTGCTGAGGGAGTGACGAGTGTACGGCCCTCCAATGGCAAATGTGCAAGAAATCCTTTTACCATTGCTTCAAAACTACGTGCTCACTTACATGGGCTGACTGAGAGCCACTGCGGCTCCGAACTGATGTCGAGTGCGAGGCGCTTCCCAAAAGGCATCGCTCAAGGTCGACCACTTTAGGTAAAGAATCGAAGAAGGAAAAGTGCCTGCAAGTTCCCCTCACAAGAATTGTGACCACGTTAGAATCTTGCCTGAGCCACCGCTCGGTTTTCCATCTCTTACAACTCGCTAAACGGACTCTAGGTTTCTCTCGAAGCTGGAACGGCAAATGAATCACTGGCAAATGGCGCCGGAACCATCGTGTAATCTTAATCTCGAAATCTCTAAGATGTGGTAGGATATCTGCGTGCTTCAACGAAATGTGGCGGTGGCCTGCTTATGGAGATATGTTTTCAATTCGACACAATTGTGGTCATGTCTCTGTCCAGCTCAGAACAAGATGACAGTTGTCTCAAACTGGAATATCCACGAGTAACCATTCTGTGCCATGTTCAAATGCCACGCCTACTCCGTCTCAATGATAGGAGTGTACCTCCGTGTTCGATCCCCTTCGAGCGAACCATTACTTCTAATCCACCATGGCCTTTCAGATTTGTGCCAGATTCCCATAGGGACAAAAAGTTGCATGCACGTCACCTCTTTTAGGTGCATTAACCGAAGACTCATTCAATCATTAGTTCTATTCTCAATGTAAACCGAATGCGCGGCGCATCCTGAAGGATAGAGATCGATGTCGGATGTCTCATTCTCTCCGTGGGTCTGGATGCTATTTCGATTAGCTGATAAAATGATGAAGCACTCGATCTTCCACCCCCTGGAGTCCGTGTCTAGGAGGATGAAAACACTGATTCGTGCACCGCCGACCCGGAAGAGTCAACTTAGATTTAGCTTTAAACAATACCACTGCGTCCTGATAGTAGTAGGGCTTCCCAGCAAAGTGAACTCTATCACCCAAAGCTTGTTACCTGTGTCCAGAGACAGGTGGTGCTATCAAGAAACCTCATTCCAGAAGCGCCAGGAATCTAACCATTGACCAAAAAGTCATCGCTAATAGATGTATCAAGGCTTGAGTTACGGTCAAAACTTCTCACGGAACCACTTTGTGCCATAAAAAACGTTGGCGAATGTGCAAGCGCTAGGGTCTGCTCCAACTCTACAGTAGGACAAATCTCCGTCGAATAGCGCGCACTGGCGCTGTCGGCTGCAGACAAGCCGGAGCTCTCTCCGTTTTTCATATTATTCGCTTTGAACCTTTTTTTATTCGTGCATTCTTCTTTCTCTCTCATGTTTTCGCTCTAACTTGAGGAGAATCTTCCTCTCTCGGAATTTTGCTCAAATACAGCAAAAAAAAGCCCTAAATTTGTTCTTGCAGACTTGGAGAATGTTGCGACAGGTTTTCTTGACCTCAAGGCCGGTCGTTGCCTGTTTAGTGTCTCGGAAGCTTCTTTCAACATCAGTTCAAATCCCTCAGCGACTGTTCGCTCCAGCCTGCGTCTACAGCAAAAACAGGACCCAAATCAGACCGTTTTCTGCAAAGGTAAGCTCAGATGGTTCATTGTTTTTATGTATTATGACGTGCTGTGACCGCCATAGTTTCGGGAATATTCGTCGAAAATCGCACAGACTGATGAGCTTCATCAAACTTTGCGGTCTGTTGGATGTGAAGTCGCCTCTTACATAGAACTGAACGGTTTTTTTTCAGGCTCCCCTGACTAAAAAGACTCTTGAAGATCGTATCATCCTTGTGCTCAGTTTGTATGATAAGATCGATCCAAAGAAGTTGACCATGGACTCTGATTTTGTTAAGGTTATCTTTTAAATATACGAATATATCCTTGCAAATAACCGAATTTCAAAGAAGCGCTCTTTCAGGACCTTGGTCTTGACTCTCTTGATCACGTTGAAATGGTCATGGCTATGGAAGAAGAATTTGGGTGAGATATTTTCTTATATGCTTTCTTCCAGTTATTCTTTGAAATTCTTTCTTATCACTACCCCAATTCCCTCAATTTTTTTCCGTTGAGAGTTCGCCTAGGAGGTCCGCCAGGGCCTCGATCACGACTATAACATTCTTTTCTGGAGACGTCCTCATCTGGCGTCAGTAAGCACCGACATGGCGCTTACACCTTTTTTCCATAAAAATTGTTACAACCTTTCACACCAAAGTTATTAGGCGTCGTGATCACTAATATTATATTTCTTCTTAACACGAGTGCCATCCGACTTTTGAGGCGTCGCAATCTAGTCTGGTTTACTACGAGCGATGAGGGA